CCTCCATGGGTTTTACTCATCAGAATGTTTCAAGTGAGTGACTATTCACAGTTGCTTATGAGTCATTAGAAAATGAGAAATTGCCTTTCCCCACCCTGTGAATTTAAGAGGAGTCTCAAGAGGTCAGCTCAGAGCAGCTAGAGGATGATCCCTAAGACCTTTTTCTAAACAAATAAAATATACCCAGAAAATACCTGTAGTCTTTGGACACTGGTGTTTACCAGATGTGGCCGCTTACTGAAAGGTGTGCATGATTATTCTCTGCAATGTACTGAAATTAAGAAGCATTGTCTATTGGTTTGTATTTTAATGTTTAGATTACTTACAAGATAATGCCTGTTATTTATTAAAGGTAGTGCCTTTCCATTTCAAGGCCTGTTTTGGTCTTTCTATCCAGGAAAGCTTAAGACTCACACAATGACTTTACTTACTGAATTAGAGTTTATTAAATTAGAAGTAAGTCACTGAAATGTGGCTTGTCTTTCTCACTGGGAGCTGGCGATGCCATTTAAGAACATGGTGGTTGGTTTTATCCAAATGTAACTGTGGCCTCTGTAGGAATGATACGTATTAGCTGAGCCAAGAAGGTGCTTTCTCTTACTGTTCTGCACAGTAACAGTAAGAGGATTTCTCCTAGCATTTATTCTTTCAGTCCTTTTGAGGTAAAAGTGAAGTTGGAGGTACATCCACAGAATCCATTAGAGCCCTTTTGGGATAGAGCTGTCAGCAGCTTCATGTCTTGAACTTCTATGAGGCATGTTGTGTCCTTGACTAAAAAATGTGTTTCCCCATGTGTCTGATAAAGTAAACATCTGTGATACTAAAGGCGTAGTGCCAGGCACATCTGTGTCCTTAAGACACTGCTGGTAAATTAACGGCTGTCCTGGAGAATGACCTGCCACAAAGTTCATTTGGTATCTTATATTTGCTATTTTGGGGGGTAACTTTTTTCTGAGTATTTAATCATGGATTTGCATGTTTCTTAAAATTTTATTCTTTGGGTTCTAGTTGATTACTTTGTGAATGAGTTAAGCCTTTGGTTACTATGGGAGGTCATTTGCATGTTCTACTTCCTTCCTTGACTCCTGACTGTAAGCTCCCGGCAGTCAGAAAACCCGCCTTACCTTTGTGATTCCATAGCTGCAGCAAAGACAAAACCCAGAGTGCTTGGTTATTTAATGGTTCAGATGAAAAGTGTGGTGGTGAGAAGAGAAGGGAAACTAAAATATTTCCAAATATCCCCATGATTCTAAGTCCCAGTCACCTAGAATTCATACAAAAGCATGAATTACATACTCAAGAAGAGTTTCTTCTTACTCATTATGCATGACCTTTTTAAAAACTTGCTTAATGAAGTTTACAGATCTGAGGAAGTCTAGAAAGGATTCAAAGCTGATAGATTCCAAGCACGTGGATTTATGTGACCTTTAGTTGTACTCCATACTTCACAATGTGTTTAAGAATTATTTCTCCTAGTCAGTATATCTGTTCTATCAGAGGAGAGAATATCCCTTCAGTGAGAAGTGACATACCCTGGCAGGTTCCTGAGAAAATGTTGAGCTTCACTAGATTCTAAGAAACTTAAGTTGTTTCCATGTGTAAATAAAATATCAGACATCTTAGTTGCCTCTAATTTGATGAACAAAACAGAGTTGCTTTGAGCCTCTTGTCTTCTGTAGGTGAGTGGCAAACATAGGCCTAACAGTATTTCCCCCTGTATAACAGTTTCCCGTTGAGACACTAAGAATCTCTTCTCTTTCTGAAATATTTACATAAGAAAAGATTTTCCCATAACCTGACAATTTTTATTATAAATGTTGGCATTATTTATAGTTTCCTCAAGAGAGCAAAGTATTTTTTAAAATTAGACAATTTTCAACCTTATGTAATAAGTATCTAATACCTACTTATTATAGAAAGATAGAAAAAACAGTAATTAATTAAAATCATTTATTTTACCACTCAGGGCTAAACCATATACTTGTAAATATAAGTCTATTGGTATATATATCCTACAAGGCATTTTCCCTCTCTCCAAATACATGTGTGTTGGCTGTTTGTTTTACAGAATAAAGCCAAACAATGTGTACTTTTTCCTTGAACATCATTTTTATTGGTTATATATTACATTTTATGGATGTAGATGGACCTTAATTTTTATCAGGTAATCTTGTTGATAACCCCCAGATTTCTAGTGGGTGTTGTTGCTGGCTTAGTTGACTTGCCAACTTGTAAAGCCTTCTTTAGGTCAGTACTATAAATGGTAGTTTATTTCCTAAATTAACTCCCCAAACCCTAATTGATACCTATTACATAGCTGAGCTTCCCTGCTGGACAAATGGGACTCCAGTGTTTAAAATGTAGGATCTGGCTCGGCAGGGCGTGGCTCAGCGGTTGAGCATCAACCTAGGATCCAGGAGATCGGGGTTCAATTCCCTGTCAGGGCACATGCCCGGGTTGCGGGCTGCAGCTGATCAATGACTCTCTCATCATTGATGTTTCTCTCTCCCTCTCCTTTCCTCTCTCTGAAATCAGTAAAGATATATTAAAATAAATAAATAAATAATTAAAATGTAGGATCTGCTTATATTATTTTCATGGCAAGCGCGTAATCCAGTCAGCACCTGGCATAGTGTCAGACAAATATAATGGGCACTCAACAAAATCGGAATTAATGGGAGCTGGGATTCCCTCTCTGCCCAGGTTGTCCTGGCCACAGCAGCCAACTAGAACACATGGGTGTTGACTTTCTGGACTATGGAAAGACGGTTGTGGATGGCAGGGAGGGAACACTAGATAGCATGTTTCCCTTTGGCAGTTGTCAGTAGTTCAGCCTTAGCTTTAGTGAAGAATTTTCCTTGGGCTCTGGCCATTCTGGCTCACTTGGTTGAAGTGGAACATAAACTGAAAGGTAGCAGGTTTGATACCTAAGTTTCGGGTTTTGACTCTGGTTGGGGTGTGTACAGGAGGTGGTCGATCGATGTTTCTCTCTCTGTCTCTCTGTCTCCTCCCTCCCCTCTAAAAAAAATCGATAAACATTAAAAAAAAAGAATGTTCCTTGGAAAGAGTTATCATTGTCGAAGTTGGAGGAGAAGAGGAGAAGAAAAAGATAAATTGAACAACAAACTTGACCTAATTGACACTTACAAAACAACCCACCCAATAGCAACAGAATACACATTTGTTGAAGTACACACAAAATATTTATCATGTTCTGAGCCATAAAACAAAGAATTGAAGGCAGTTTTCTAAGAAGTTAAGCATATACTTACCATATCATCCAGCTATTCCACTCCTAGGTATTTATCCCAGAAGAAAGAAAACATATGTCCATACAAAGACGTGTACAGGTTGATATGTGAATGTTCATAGCATTTTATTTGTAAAAGCCCAAAACCAATGTCTCATCAATAAGTGAATGAATAAATGAATTGAGATATATCCATACAACGGAATGCTACTCAGTAATAAAAAGAAATATGGACACATGTAAGAGTGCGAATGAATCTCAAAATAATAATGCTAAAGGGAAAGAAGCCAGACAAAAAGGGTACATACTTTATACCTCAATTTGTATAAAACTTTAGAACATACATACTGATCTGTTGTGAAAGCAGATGGTAAAGGCGGTGGGAGGAAGATTAAAGGACATGGGGAAACTTGGTGATGGGTATGTTCATTATCTTGATGTTATGTTTTCACAGGTTATACATATGTCAAAATTTACTAAATTATAAACAACGTGTATAGCTTATATATCAGTTGTGTCTCAATAAAGCTATCTAACATATGAATGAATAAGGAAAGAATAAAAGAAAACGTTCATGATACTGGGCCTGTTTATATCACCTCAGTGGTTCTTAAACTCCTATATGCAAGCAGCATGACATTTTATGGGGTACTGTGCTGGATCAATGAGATGATCTTGCTTGCTGATTTGAACTTCTTTACAACCAGAGCCAATGGAGAGTGTTAGGATTCTAGAAAGTATTCTCCCTATTTCTTATTGCCGGCCGGGGGTGGGGTGGGGTGTGGTATCCTTCTGTATTCATACATGTTAACAATTGAGCATGGAATTTTTAAGTTGCAACATGATTTCTAATGAGCTCAATCATGTGGTAGCCTGAGCAGAAACAGAGTAAAATGGTGGTTACCAGGGGCTGGGGGGTGAGGGAAATGGGGAAGTATTCGGTACAAGGCACATACTTTCAGTTAGAAGTGGAATAAGTTTTGGGAATGTAATGCATAACATTGTGCTTATAATTAACAATACTGTATTATATACTTAAAAGATGCTGAGAGTAGATACTAAATGTTCTCACCACGAAAAAAGAAATAGTAATTATGTGACTTGAACGGAGGCTTTAGCTAATGCTGTGGTGGTAATCATTTTGCAGTATATAAATAAAGCAAATCAACATGTACATCTTAAGCTTATACAGTGTTATATGTCAATTATCTCTCAATAAAGCTGGGGCAGGAGGACTGACAAAACCATACAAAACACTAAAATAGGTAGAAAAAAAATGTAGTGGTGATGACAATTCAGTGGTTACTCCTCGCCTACTGATTGAAGACGAAGTTCCTGAACCAGTGACTTTTCATGTTTCCTGTAGTTTGATCCTCAGCTACCTGTTCAATTTTGCACACCCATCTCCCAGAGTACATTGTGCTATCCCATCTTTATTGCTTGGTTAGTGCTTTTCTCTGCACCATGTCATCTCACCTTTAATATCTATGTAGTACAACCCTACCTATCCTTTAAATTCCCATTCAGATGCTAACAGGTTTTCTCTGATCCTCCCAGCTGGAAGTGTGTCATCTGTGCTCTGTACTGTAGCTGACACTAAGGACATAGTTTGTACCCTAGGCGTATAGGTGCAGGTCAGTGAGGTCTGCCTTTCTGTCTTTGAACTGAGGAGATGCAGTTTGGCATTTTGGCTACTATTTAGATGTGTTTGAATTTTTCATTAAACTTTCCCATTTATTAAAATTATTATAATTATTAATGCAGATGAGGGAAGCAATAACAGGACAAGCAGCAGAAAACAAAAATTGCTTTGATTTTATTTTTGAACTACATTCTATGTTCATTTGATCAGAGCAGAGAAGTGGTAGATTTACTGCTCTCATGACATTTTTTTCCTTAAGCTAATAATTTAATTATATGAACCGCCTCTTCCCCTCACATTTTTAGAACCAGGCAGTTGCTAGTGGAGAAAGAAGTCAGTTTATTAATTTCAATCAACCAGAGGCAGCTCACTTTGAATAATCCAGGAGTTGGCTTAAGTGACATCTTAACGTTAGAGTACTCTTGTGTCTTGAAAGAACGTGAATTAGGTAGGATTCATGGAATATTTGAAGTGTGGTTTTGAAATTTCAAATGAGAGCTCTTCTCTGGATTCCACTCCTTTGATCACTTCTCATATTTTTTTCCAGGTCCGGACTCTCTTTGTCAGTGGTCTCCCTCTGGACATCAAACCTCGGGAGCTCTATCTGCTTTTCAGACCATTTAAGGTACCTTTTCTATCTTTCAGAAATTGTAAAAGGAAACAAAAAGAGTGTGTATAAGCTTCATGGGGTCTCTTTGGAGGAAGAAATGAAATGTTTGAAAAACTACCTTATAAAGTGATATTTCTAAAAGGTTGGTGAGCAATGGAGATTTAACAGTTCTGTTCTACTTTACAGTCTCTCTTGGGAAAGATGGAGATGGCCTTTTGCCCTCCCAGTAGCTAATCTAGACAAGTCTCTTCTTGCTGATGTGGTTGTGTATCTGTCTCTTCCACATAGAGCAGCTTTGTGTCCTTCCATCAATTGAGGGTGTTCTAGGTACAAATCACCAAAAACATCAATTACTGATTATGTATTTATATTTCAAATACAATAATATAAGTCAAGCCCTATTCCTAGGAGATTATTAGTTGAAATAGTTCTGTTAGTACTATTCTTTGGAGACATAATAGGTTAAATAGGCTTTTATGAATTAGACTAGGAACCTAAAACCATTATTTGTTTTATGGGGAAAATATCCTGTTTCAAATAAAGTAAAACAAAATTTAAAGTGTTGCTTGGTGTGAGCGGACTCTTTCCTGGTGCTTAATGAAATACTTAATGCAGTGTGACTATTGAGATAAAACTACTTTAGAGATACTTAATGTATCTGGGATTGAAAACTTAACAGGAGGTCGGACTAAAGCCGAAATAACCATGCTATCAAGGCAAAACCTTGAAGATTAGCCCTTGGAGGATCGGAGAAGGCTGGGACTGGGCAAATTGTGGGCTGGAGGCCTTGGCCCTTGAGGAGCGAACCTAGAAGTCATGATTAATTCAGGGCCTGTATCTGAGCTCGTCATTGAGGACACGTCAGCCAGCGATGCCAGCTGGGACCACACGATTAGGCAATGGACCCTCTTGATTTTTGGTTAAAGATCCATCCCTGTTGAAGCACGACCCCAGCCAAGACAGGTTGAGGTACAGGATCTAGCTTTTTAGGGAGAGGGAACAGGATGTGACAGCTGAAAACAGCTGTGAGGGAAAGGAAGAGGGAGGGCAAGAGGGCAGCCAGTTAAAAGCAACAAAGATAAAACAGAGCCTAACTTATATGCCAAGAAGGCACCATACAGAGATAATTCCATTCTGACAGCCATCCCCTTAATGCAGTGATTTTCTACCTTTTTCATCTCATGGCACATGTAAATTAATTGCTAAAATTCTGTGGCACACCAAAAAATATATTTTTTTGCCAATCTGACCAAAAAAATAGTTATAATCTTGATTCATTCACACCAGATGGCTTTTGTTGTGTTGGGTGTTGTCACTTTTTTATTTGACAACCTAAGGGAAAAGAGGTTAATGCTTCTGACTAAATAGTCAGGTATTGCATGTCTTAATTTCTTGCAACGCCAGTTGAAAATCACTGCCTAATGCAACGTAAATGGCGACAGTGCAGAGGAAACAGAAAGCTGAGATGTGATGTTAGCTGAGAAGAAGTGGGAAAGAGAAGGTGTTGTAGGAAGAGAGTACCAACTTCATAAGATTTCCTGAGTTTCTTCTGCAGGGTTGTAATTTTTATATCCCTTTTGTTGGATGAGGACATTTTAAGCTATTGATCTTAATGGCAAAATACTGTTGTGTTTATATGTGTGTAGAGAGAGATTGAGCTAGCAAGCCCCTTATATAAATTATCTCATTTAATTCTCATGACAATCCTTTAAAGTGGGTTGACCTCATTTATTCAAATGAGGAAAATGAAACTTCGAGCAGTTGAATAAATTTTGCTCAAGTATACACACAAAATAAGTGCAGAGCAGGGTTTGAACCCAAGCAGTCTGATTCTGCCATCCCTGTCCTGAACTACTGTGTGATACTAATTCTCTTCTTGTGACTTGAGAGCACAGTATATCCCTGCCAGTGGTGGTATACTTGAGTGAAATACCCATTTGTCCTTTGCCGCTGAGGCCTTCAGGGTGTTTTAAACCTCTAGGTTTTTTCAGAGAGAGCACCTTGGAAAAGGGGGAGGCAGGGCTGTGAATCATGACCTCTTTGTCCAGAAGAGCTCAAGGCCTTGGAGGTAAAATGTTTACAGTAGTTAATTGGTCACATAGTTCTGTGCTGGGAAGATATGAGGATGAATCAATCCCAACATTCTGCCCAGAAATGCTTCCCTAAAGTCAGGGCTCTGCTACATTCCTAACAGCCCTCTTTTAATTAAAGTCCCTGAAGGTTGACCCTAGTCTGCAAATCTGTCTCTAAACTGGTACGTGTGGTGGTCAATCACGTGAAGTGGTGTCTTTCCCCCGTGTCATCCATCAGTGCAAGCCACCAGCTATTGATTATTTTCAGAAATAAACACACTTTGTTGTCTCTATCCTGAAGAGCCAGGGAGGGGTGAAGGGAGGCATTGAAAGGGAGTGTTTCTATCTTCCTGGAGGATGAGCTGGAGTAAAAAGCCAACAGGGCATTTTTTGCATGTCCCAGTCAGAATACTAACATGAAAACTGGCTGTTTCAATAAATAAGCAAAAGAACTCAACAAAATTTAGCATCACTGACTACATAACCTTTCCTGGAATTTTTAAAATTCTGATTAATAAGTTCTACCTAGTGCATTCTTTTTTAAAAAATATTTATTTTTTCAGTTAGAGTTGATGTACAATATTATATTAGCTTCAGGTGTACAACCATGTTGATTAGATATTTAGATAACTTAATGAAGTGATCACCAAAATATAGTGCATTCTTAATGGTTCTTTGTTATTTTATAGCAAATACATGACCAAGTTATTACATACTCTTACCTTCCTATCTTATTAAATTTACCCCTTCCCTCTCCTAGTTCTATAAAACAAAGAGATCTGCTGTACACAGATACACCAATTTTTCTACCATTGCATGATTTCATGGGAAAAAAGGGAAAAGAAACATAAAAAATGCATGAATTTCAGGGGCTTGATTTTTTTTATTTTTTTAGGCCCCAAGTCTGCAAACATAGGCATAGATTCACGTGGGTGTGTGCACGTGTGCCTGTGTGTATAATGTGCTTTCCTGGTTAATTTAAGAGGCATTTGTGTAAAGGATAAAGGATTTATCTTTACTTGAGAAGATGCCATTTATAATTGCTTTCCTCCCAGTACTCTTTCTTTTTGTGTGTCTAAATTCAGTTCTTTTTTATTTTCAGGGCTATGAGGGTTCTCTTATAAAGCTCACATCTAAGCAGGTAAGAATTTTAAACTTGCATATAAATGATCACTTCTACAATAAGATTGAATTGACTTTCTTCAGGAATGTTGCTAGGGCTCAACATTCTTTATTCCCATTAGGATTTTATTTTGTTGTTGTTGTAGTTCTAAAAATTAGGGTGAGGTTGGTTAGGAATTAGCACAGGAAAATGGTTTGTAATTCCATAGTCTCCAGCCAGGATGTCTGGGACTAGCCCCAAGGAAGGCAAATGTCTTACATACATCCAGCATAGTTTTATTGGGGTTTATCTGTATATTCAAAAGTAATTATTATCCAACTTCACTTTTATTCCCAATTTTTTCCTGTTGTCTTTTTTAATAAGGTTAAACAGGCAGACTTTCACAGTCGGTATGAGTGTCTGATGGTGAAGAATCATGTTCTCTCTCAAACCCCGAATGGAGGTGGTAACCATTGACCCTGGTGGTTCCTACAAGCTTCTTGAAAATTCCAGCTGTATGCTTTTTCCCTCTAATGCTGAACACTCAGCATGCTCACCTCCCAATCACTTTTCAACACTCAATGTTGTATTCTCCGGTTCATCAGGAATAAGCTGTGTTGCAAGTATCCTTTTGGACTGAAAGATATTGAGTCCAAAGGGATTATGACCCCTTTCTCTTTAGTTGGAACAGTATGGTTTATACAACTAATTAATCACAGGACTTTTTAATGGCATCCCTTGGGATTTGCAATGGAAATGTTCATTTTGTAACTTTGATTATGCAGTGAGAGTACAGGATTTTGATGAGTGTGTCATTGTAGTCATTATATTGACTGTACCAGAAGGTTCTCTTTCTACTTTAAAAGATAAAGAAACTAAGGTACATTGAATTCAATTTAGAAAAGTAGAGTCTCTAGGCCCAAGTTTTCCTCTCTTACCTTGTTCACTGCTGCTCACTTCCCAATCCCTTCTAGATTATTTTTATGATCCTCTAAATCCCCTTGAAGAACCACCCTCACAATCCCTTTGATTCATGTTAGAAATTCTGCTAAACCACTGAGTCATGATTCTCCTGGACTGGCTTTCTTATTCCTACACTAATGCCTGTGGTCATTTCTTTATCTTAGCTCTTCAGTTTGACATCACCCTTGACCCAGAAAAGTAGATACCTCCTGATTTTTTTCCTTCATATTTTTCTTTCTGCAGCCCGTGGGTTTTGTCAGTTTTGACAGTCGCTCAGAAGCAGAAGCTGCAAAGAATGCTTTGAATGTAAGTACTCCTTTAATCACGGGGATGTTCCTTAGGAGGTGGTGGGAAATAGCGGAACCTCAAATGGAAGGAATATGACTTCTCAATCTAACAGGAAAGGATTCATCAAGTTAATGAGCCCTCTAAAGAGATTTTTCCTAGAATTGTGGTCAGATGTACAGAGTATCCAGTAACACTTTGCTCTTCTAGCTTTTGCTACAGTGCTCAAAATACCTGATACTGTGAGTCTTATTTTAATTCAGCCCAGTCGTGTCCCATGGTGGTGTACAGCTTAGTTTGGCCATCGTACTCTCAAGGCTAAACCTACGCCAAGAATAGATCAAAATCTTGGCTTTTCCTATTTCATGAGGTTTTATTTTAGGTATGTGGCTTTTTGTTTTTTAAACAGGTCATTGTCATTATCCTAACTGATTAAAAGCTTGCATATATGGCTTTCTGGAAAAACATTGTGCATTGTGATAAAATAAGTGAGAGGAAGCTGTAATTAAATAGATATAGCTGTATTTGGTTTGTAGGCATCTTGTCTGACATATGTTATGAAGCTTTTACCAGTTTTATTTTAGTAAATATTTTTCCCCTTTGGTATGTTGAAAATCAAAACAACTTAAGGGAACCAAGCCTAGAGAAGGTGGAAGGAAGCCAATTTAATTTAGTCCAGATGCTGAGAGCTGATCCTCAGGTGAGGAGTCTCAGTGAAGAGCCTGGCTCCATCCTTCTCCAGGCTGTTGGCCTAAGCAGCTGTGGATGAGGGTTGATTAATGCAGCCAAAAGTGTTTAGGGTGCTTCTTGAAAGGAAAGTGACCACACAGCTGATTGCAATCTGGGCGTCATGGTGTGAGCTTCTGTGAACTAGTCACAGGCCTTTTCGTTGCTTTGGTACCTGTAGATTCTCCTGCCAGTTGCTCCTCTAAGCTCCTGGATGCTAAGATAGACCATGCTGAGGAGGGGCTATAGAAAAGACCCAATATCCTGATGACTTGGTGGCCCAGTAGAAAGAGATCGACATAATGGTATCATTGTGACACAAGCTTGAGAGGTTTTTGGGCTTTGAAAAAAATGTATACATTCCCAGAAGAAATAACTTGCTTATTATTGTTGTTTTTTTGGTGGCAACATACAGGAACGTCTTAGGAATCCAAGATTTCCACAGAGCTCAGAATTTTTCCGGATTTGGATAAATGACCTTCTGGTCAGAATAACTTCTTACTTACTCTGTTCCTCTCTCGCAGAAGCAAAGTATATAGTTGAATATTTAGACATAAAAATGATTTCCTGATTTTTGCATTGCATACAACCAGAATTTTCTCAAAAAAAAAAATTTAAACTAAAAAAGTATCCACAATTTCTGTTTAAGCAGTGTTTTCTTTCATTCTAACCAGGTGACATCTTTCTAAACTCAGAAATACTCTGGTTCCTTTGAAGCTATGTTAGATGAAGTTTTCACCAGGTTCTTTTCATTGTTTTTATAAAGGAAGTAACAGCAGTTGAAACTTGTCCACAGAATATACTCTGCATTACCTTACTTTATCTTTGCTGTGCATGTAAAGATGTCACTGACTTTCTGTCTGAAGAACAGTAGGCTCTTATAGTTAGTTACCTCTCTCCTCTGATGAACGCAATATTCGCTTACGAGCTAGGTTATTAAATGGTCAGTCATAAGCTGTGATTTCTTGCCTTACTAAGCAAAGTATAGCAATATAATTTCAAATTTTCTTGGTGCCTGCGGGTTATATCATTACAAATATCAGGTATTAAGCTATGCTACAACATAATTATAGAGGTGTTTAAGCCCATCCCTGTGCCATATGGCCCCAGATCACTGGGCTTTCTTGTCCTGAGGTCTGGTTTTAGGTTCTTCTTGTGCTCTGCTCTTCCTTTTTCACTGTCAGCAAGCCTTCCTTTAGCAGCATCCTCTCTCTTAATCATTAATTGTTTGTTGCTCATGTATTAATTATTTGAGAAGACCTCTAAGTAAAGCAGATTTAATTCTGTCCTATTCTGTGGATTTAAGAGTAACTGTTAATATTTACCTGAGGAGTATTGAACCTGAGCTTTCTTCTCCTCAGAGGCTGACTTGTGAGTATAAGGGCATTTATTGAGCTCCTAGTTGATCTCTTTCTCAGTGTTTTTAACTTTTATGCATACAGTATCAGAGGTCTTTGTACCTTAGAAATCATCCTGTTGTTATAGTTGGGGGAACTGAGATCTAGAGACAATGGCTGCTAGAAGTAGAAGTAGGCCTCTTGCATCTTAATCCTGGTGACAGTGACAGACTGTTTAATTCATGCTGTCCAGGACAAATGGCCATGGTCAAGCTTGATGTGTGGCTGTGGAGCAAGACGACCACTTCTCTCTGCAGGGAGATTGGGCTATTTTAGGATAATATACTTTATCATGAAGCTGACATATCTTCTCTATGGCCCAATATATTATGCTTTTATTTAGGGTCATCTTTTCTAATTAGTGAATTAAAAACATATGATGCTCATATTATGAAATTTCATATTATGAAATTTTCTCCTTGTATCATTTGTCTAGGCAGTTCTCTTAAAAGATTTTTCTCACATTTCTTTGGGGAAAGTTTCATTTTGTAATGTTTTGTTTGATTCTACTACTGAGAAACTTAAACCTCAATTCAGTAAGTCCCTCTATATGAAATAGTTCATAGTGTTATGAACCACTTCTCCATGTTGGGAGCTTCTCTTCTTGTTGTTATTTCTGTCTTGATTATTCTCTGGTTCAGTTATTAGTATTAATATTCTTTTCCCATAATTGATTGTTAAATCCATTTATTTTCTTCCATTTTTGGATTATGCTTCAGTCAATTTGATAATTTTATGGAAAAGCTCAGATTGAATTGAGTGGTAACATTGAACTTTTATCGGGATGAATCCTATCTTCTAAATTAAATACAGTATATCTTGTTTTTATGGCAAAAACTCCCACATTAAGCTAAAAATAACCCAAACCCAGACTTCCCTTCAGGTTATCTGTGTTCCCATTAATCCCCATGATTAGAAACCCCATTCATTTTTTAAACTGGCAGCAAAGTATCTGACCTATTCGTCACCCTCCAGACACATTTGTAATTTCTGTACAGGCAGTTTTCCATTTTCCATGCTAATGGAAAGGGGAGCTGATAGCCTAAAGTATCTAATTATTTTTAGGATTTGTTTATAATTTGGGGATGTAAATGAAATACAGTATACTGAGAGTTAACCTGGTGAGTAAAAATTTGATTTGTGGAAATTTTAAGAAGAAACGCAGGAAGCAGGGCAGAAGTGAGATTAAGCCATCTCTGGCTCTTCCTTCTAATTGTGAAGGCTCCAATATTGCTGTTGCTGCCTAGCTGAAATCATGTCTTAATAATAAGAATGATTAGTAGTTAGCACTTCAGATCAAGAGGCTCCTCCTGCTCCTTGCTTTGTGTACAGTTCCATAAAAGGCATTGTCTTATGCCAGTGCCTGGGAATCGCTCATCTGAAGTACTTTAAAAGATTGTGTGTGGACTCTTGAGTATACATGTAAATTTGTTTGCTATCTCTCCTCTTCTAATTTTAAGTAGTTGTTATGGAGGGTAGGTTTTATATTAGGACTAGAGAAGTCTGATATTATCAAACTATGTATTGCAAATTGCCTTAAGTAAACATTGCTTAGGCTAGCAATAATTTGCTTTACTCTCAAACTAGACTCATTGATCTAAGTGCAATTTTTTAACCTTTTCCATCTCATGGCACATATAAACTAATTACTGAAATTCTGCAGCACACCAAAAAATATATTTTTTTGCCAATTTGACCAAAAAAGGTTTAATTTTGATTCATTCACGCTGGATGGCTATTGTTGTGTTGGCTGTTGTCATTTTTATATTTGACAAACTAAAGGAAAAGAGGTCAGTGCCCCTGATCTAAAAATCAGGAATTGCATGTTTTAAAAATTCTTGCGGCACACCAGTGTGCCACAGGACACCAGTGGAAAATCCCTGATCTGAGTGATTTCTAATTGTCGTTGCACTCACATACTACATAATTTGCCCTTCTTTAATTTTTTTTACATTTTTCACTTAAAGTTGACATTCAATATTATATTAGTTTTAGGTGTACAGCATAGTAGTTAGATATTTATATAATTTATGAAGTGATCCCCTGATAAGTCTAATACCCACCTGACACTATACATAGTTATTACAATATATAGTTTGCCCATTTAAAGTGTACAATTCAGATTTTTTTGGTATGCTATATTATTTTTAGTTGTGAGGAAACGTAACAAAATTTACCATTCTAATGGTTTTTACGTTTACAATTCATTGACATTAATTACATTTGCCATGTTGTACAACCATCACCACTATCTATTTACAAAACTTTTTCATCACCCCAAACAGAAACTCTGTAACCATTATGTAATACATCTCCATTTTTCCTTCCCTCTGGCCCCTGGTAACCATTTAATCTATTTTCTGTCTTTGTTAATTTGCCTCTTAAAGATACTGAAATATTTGTCCTTTTGTATCTGGCTTCTTTCACTTAGCATAATGTTTTCAAGATTCATCCATGTTGTAGAATGTATCAAGACGTCATTCCTTTTTTGGCTCAGTAATATTTCATTGTACGGACATATACCACATTTGGTTTACCCATTCATCTGTTTTGATGAACATCAGAGGTGGTTTCCTCCTGCTGGCTATTGTGAGTAATGTGTCAGTGAACATTGGTGTACAAGTAGCTGTTTCACTAGGGACAATTCCTTTGGGTATGTACTTATGGGAATGCTGAGTCATATGGTAATTGTATTTTTAACTTTTTAGGATCCTTCAAATCTTCCCCTGGTGGCTGCACCATTTTGTAGTCACACCAGCTAAGTTATGAGGGTTTCAATTTTTCCATATCCTCACCAATACTTGTTATTTTCTGTTTGTTTTTTTAAAATTATAACCAATCTAGTAGGTGTGAAGTGATCATTGGGTTCTTGATAAATACTTATGACCAGTTTTAGTA